CAGTATTTATAATGAACCAATATGAAAGGAAGTTTTTGATTCGGCATTTGACATTCCTGAGTGTTTTTAGCCAAGGAACTCCTTTCCTTTGGCTTATGAATATGCTAAGCAAAGGTCAGGGAGTGCTTCGTGTTTTCCTCATCCACTTATTTTCCTTATCAACGGGTGTAAAAAATGGTTGCCTTCTATACAGACCCACAATCCAAACAGACACTCAAGGCCAAAGGCAGATGATGGGGGGAAATTAAAGGGGAAGGTTTGGGTTTGGGGGCGGAAAATAGACTTTTGGTTTTTCGTCTTTGGGCCAAATTGTTTATGCAAATTTTGAATAAATAAACAAGATTGTTAATTTAGTTAAATATTTCATTTTTGTGCCGTTTTCATCAGCACGTTCGAGGTTCCTGCCTTTGGGAAAGAGCTCCATCATCTGGATCTGTATCTGTATCTGTATCTGTAGCTGTATCTGCGTTTGCAACTATGCGAGTATCTGTGTGAGCGGTGAACGTGTACGGGTATAGGTGCTGCCATGAATTTTGATGCCGACTCTCATTAGGCGACGAGGATGTTTTCAGGACTCAATGCAAAGGATTGCCAGGATCCGCCCGGCAGTCGATGCCTGCCTACTTTTTGCTTCCTGGGATTCGGCTGTGTTGTTTTTCGGCCCGCCTGTTGTCCCCATGCCAGAGGAGCAATAAAATATTGTTGTATTTGCTGTTTGCATACGGACAGGCCCTCTCTTTTCGGCACTTTCGGGTCCTATCTGGACTGGACTGGGCTGGGCTGTGATGTTTGTGTTTCTGCACTTGTACAAACACATGTTAATTGGCCGTAATTGTAAGTTTTGCTAACGCAACAACAGAAATGCACAATGTAAGCAAGTTTTTAAAGCAAAAACAACAAGACGGTCGGGCCGAAAATTATCATAAAACATTTGCCAAATGTTTGCCGTAGTAATAAAAATTTAAATATTCCTGGACCTGGGACTCATGCTGGTCACTGGACGGAAAGAGCCACTGCCACTGCTAGCCCACACCCATTCGCATTCCCTTTGAGGCTGAGGGTCACAATATTTATGGCGACGCGCGCCACATGACGTTGAACTATGCGTATGACTAACCGAGGGAGTCCTGCGAAGAGTCCTGCTCGGAGTGTCGACCCCCCAGCCCATCCATATCCACCTCCTTCAGCCGTCATTTTAATAAACTTCATATGTCGCATGTCGCCATTTTTTCTTCTTTTTTGCACGTTGCTCACTTGGTGGTTCCCTTCTTTTGTGGACCTCTAAACAGAGTATTTGCATTCCTATGGGGCCTTTGTCGTGCACAACAGGATAGCATAGAACCCAAAAAAGCTGGTAACCGGAAGATTGTTTTAGAACGAAAACCTTTTTTTTTATTTAAAAAAATTTTTGTTAAAATACAAATTTGTTTGTATTTTAACAAACGATTTAACTACCAAAATATACAATTTACAAACAACATGACAACGAATAACATTAAATTTTTCCAGTGCAATACTATTTTCTAAATTTTGATTTAAAGCTAATACCAATACTACTTTAACGAACTTAGTTCTCTAAAAGCAAAAATTACATAAGAATATTAATTAAAGGAAAGATATTATCTGTTAAATGTATTTCCGATCCTTGCAGCTTTAATTATAGGAAATTCTATTAAAACGTATAAATATTGAATTGAAGAGTGTACAAACTTCAGATGGGCAAGTCTGCATTCCTTTCTTTTTTTCTTGTTCATGCTACATTCAGTCTTGCGGCTTTATTAGTCCGTGATTTATGTAGTCAAAGATAGCGAAGAGCCGGTCCAGGGTCCAGGCTCCTCCTCCTGGTCCTGCTCCTGCTCCTGTTCCTCCTTGGGATCCATGTGGATGTCGTGGCTGCTGGGAAATTTATACATGCGCCGCAAGAAGTCGGGCGTGGACAAATGAATGACATGGCACCGCTTGGCTGCTGGCTCGATGCCGCTTTTTAGGCAGTTAAACTCGAACTAATCGCCGCGCCGGCATCTTGCCGTTGGCCAATCTACTATGCAGCTTTATGGCTGCCAGGGCCATTTGAAGGGAAACCGAATTATGAACTGGCTCTCGATATTGACTGCATACTATATGTATGTGGTATACTGTACAGTGGATGGTGTGGTGTGATGTTCCGATCCTTTTCGCATTGGAGTCACGTATTTGACGCAACGTTTGCGCCTTTAATTCGTTGCGCTAAGTCGCGGAACGGACACGTCCATGTAATTATTTACGGGTAGCGGCGAAATGTGTATAAAATATTGTATAATAACACATCACAGGCAATGCATATGTGTTATTTATGGCCATTACGATGGCAACATATTTATACATTTTTGTTTTTATTCACATCTTTATGGCCTGTCAGGGCAGATGTATGAATATGTTATTAGCTGGGTATTTGAAGAGGAAAAATTCGATGGGATATTCTTTATTTGAGTATTGACGCATGAAATAGTCCCAACTATATACTGTATAAATAACTCCACAAAAAAGTATTGTTCTCTCGCTTATAGACTTAAATGAATCCTGAAATTTAAACTATATAAATACTTCCAGGGTTTTATATCCGTTTAAAAATATCCGGAGCGAAGGAGCATATTGTCCTGATCACTGTTAGTAAATAAACGTAATTCGATTTTGGCTTCGCTTTACCAGTTTTCCTGTCAAACAGGTTGTTGAGTTGATGGAAGTTTTTGGCATTTCATTGAAATTGAAATAAAACCAGAGTTATGACTCGACGGCGGCTAACCAATATTTATTCTCAATTAATAGACTGGGCCACAAAACTCATATGGGCAGCACTGCGGTTCGTTGCCAGCTACCGATCAAAATAATGCCAATGGAAATGCACACAAATGCCTGGTTGCCGCAGTAAAAATCAACGCCGACTGCAATCTACAGAATGCCATCAGATGGGATGGGTTGGGAAAACAGGGAGCCGGAAAAGTAGAGAGCGGTGAGCAGTGTAAACATGACAAGCCGAGGGAAAATATTTTCAATTTCCATTACAAAAGTGCGAGCAGACGGGGTGGAGGGGGGCTGATGCCAGGGAATTCCAGTGTTCTTCCTCAGTATTATGAAAATTAAATTTTTCATTTCAGTGCATCGCCTGCCTGCTGCCAATGAATGAATCTGAAAAGACTTCAGACAGATGTGCTGCATCGACTACACTAGTTGAGAGATAATTCTCCCTGGGATGCTGCACTGGTCTTCAATTTTTCTTTTTAAATTTAACAGTCAGTAAATAATTTGTTGTTTCATGTAGATTAGATATAATCAAATATGTGCAGTTGCTTTTTACAAGCCTATTATTGTGATTGATTGTTTATTTTCTAATTTTAAATTTGAAATATAACTACAATAGCCCAAAACAAATAATGCATGTCACAAATCTGTTATAAATTTCAAAATAATTCAATTGTTTAAATGAAGTATATTTAGTGCAAAGTACTTGTTAGATTTTGTAAGCCAGTGTCCTCGATGTGGGTGCTTAGGTCAGAATTAGTGTATCCAATAACAGTATCCATGGCCAGGACATGAATGCGTTAGAACGCCGAGAAGATTATGGTCTATCTGTTGGTATGTCTGGATGTGTTTTATAGCTTGGTAATGGAAACAGGAACGGAAACATGAATGGAATTTAACAATCGAATAAGTTCACAGTGGGCATCCAGTTAGCTCGTAAAATCTATAGCAGAAAATGTTCATGTGCTCCATTGAAATCTTTCATGAAGAACTCGATTGCAATATTTCCAATAGTGGAAAGCAATTTGTGTTTTTCGGTCATGGAGCTTATTGAATTTTTAATAACAGGAATTCCCGAAGTGGGTTGTAGCTGTTAAAAAAAACCTAAAAATTACTTGTTTAAAAACAATAAAACTTTGTTTTTCATGTATAGATATGTAGAACAGATTTATTAGGTTTTCTAGTTCTTCGCCTGAGGACCAGTTTTTTGTGTCCCTGTTAAAGTCCCAGACAGCTATCTTTTTATAAAACCTTTAGTTAACAATTAGATAAATGTGTAGAAAGGAAGAAATTGCTGACGCGCAATTCCGCCTTAGTTCCCAACTCTGATGTTTGTTGTAGGTCAAGTCCAATCCACATTCTACATTGCGTTTACATGCGTTTCCGAGGAATGAATTGAGTTACCTCCAGAATCGCATTATTCCACTAATGAGGCACACTTTGGAGTACCCATCGAGATTCTGCTAATTGCTCGAAGGATTTCCTTGTCGCTCTCCATTCGGCTTACGCATACAAATGGCTGCGTGTGCGGCACTTTAAGAAATTGGATTTTCATCGGGTGTAGTTATGGCCACGCCCCTTTGACCTCGTAGCCGCCCCTCTCCCGAGGCAAACGGAACTTTTACGGTCCACCATAAGCTGCGCACTTTATCCGCTCGCAATGTTTATTAATGAAACTGTTTGTGATTTGCATTTTAATTTATGCAAAAATACAAAAATATATTTAATATGTGCAGGAGCCGTGTGGTGGTACTCCCCGATGCTCCAATTGAAATTCAAAGGCAGCCAACAATTTTTAATGTTCGCCGCTCTGGTATTTTACGACTCCGACGATGGCGGCGATGTCTGCTAAACTGAATTGATAATTAACAAGGCAAATGCGCGTGTAATTAGCATTCATTGGAGCAATGTTCTACAAGGACATTTGCCAGCGAAGGAAACTTAATAGGGACTTTTACAAAATTAAGGTATACCCATCTGCGAAGTCCTTTTTGTTTTCCCGTTTAAGCGATTTTAAAATGTAGTAGGCCACCTTACGCCCGATAAACTATCGATTGTTAATGTTAAGCTAACATTAAGTATAACATAATCTTTAAGGAAGCCCAATGTTAATCATTCTTGGTATATGCATTGAATAAAGCGGACGTGTTATAATAAAAAGTGCCTAAAGTATTAAATATACCGGTCCTCTCACAAATTCAGAAGTGGGATAAATCTACGCAATGGACGATATAAACTTCAACAATTTCTCGGTTGTTCAACTAAAAAGATGGCTTTCCGCGTTGGGAATGCCAACTCAAGGCCTTAAGGCCGAATTGATGGCTCGTCTTGGGCGTGTTCCTCCCGAGGAGCGCGGCCAGGCACCACGCGAAGACGCCAACCCAAATTCTGGAGAAGATCGACCCGTTAACGAGGATTCTGAAGAAGATCAACCCGCTAACGAAGAAGAAGAAGTTCAAGGCGACGCCTCCGCCCATCAACTTCAGGGCGCCGAGGGCAACGTGAACATCGCACCAGCGGCTTCTCAGAGGGTGTTCTCCCGAGATGCCCTTGAGCAACATGAACTTCTTGCCATCATAAGGCAGCTGCAGGCGAAGTAAGTGCGCATCGCACTTTGTTGCAACAAGCGCAGACACGTGGCGCCGCACAACAACAAGCAGTTGACAATAGTGGCAACCTCGGAGACTCGAACATTCTACCGCGGTCGCAAATGCATGCATCGTCTGGCAACCCTACCAGTCTGATCGTGCTACCGACCTCAGACGACAATGCATCTGGTGGCGGCATTACAAGCTCAAACGTTTTGCCAGCCCTGCAAGGCATTGCATCGAGCGGCAACAGCAGTGGTTTGGCAGTATTCGGCTCAACGAATAACAACACCGCCGTTTTCAACGCCGACGGAGCTGCCAGCCGAGCTGCATCAGCAACATCGTTATCTTTCGCCAAAGAAGCAGCCATAGACTTTGACGAAAACATGTGTGCTCGCATCTGGGTGGAGCACCTTAAGAACATTGGTCAGGTATATGTTTTGGCCGACGACTGTCTAAGGATGCTGTTCATCACCAAGCTGAAGGGAAAGGCACAGCGTTGGTTACATGCCAACCCCACTAGAATGCTGGAACCTTTCGAGAGGCTATGCGAGCAGCTGATTATGGCCTTCGGGCAAATGTCTTCAAAATCCGAGCAGCGTCGCAAGTTCGAGCAACGGAAATGGCAACAAACCGAGCGTTTTGCCATGTACTTCGAAGACAAGATGATGTTGGCTCAACCCATCAACCTGGAGACAGATGAGCTTTTGGAACAAATCATCGAAGGAGTGCCATCAGCCAATTTAAGGGATCAAGCACGCATTCAACGATTCGCCAACCCGGAGCAGATGCAGCAAGCCTTCGCAAATATCTGCCTCCCGCAGATAATCGAGACCAACGCAGCGAAGAAGACATCTATGGAGGCCTCTGGAAACAACGAATTGCGCTGCAGAAACTGTAACTCCAAGGGCCATTTCGCAAAGGATTGCCGCAAGCCAAAAAGGGCTCCCGGATCTTGTTTCGCATGTGGAGAAATGGGGCACTTCGTAGGGCAATGCCCTAAGAGGAAGAGCGCCAGCGACAACAACAATTATGTAAGATCTATGCAAATTTATTTCGTTTCGTTTTCTAATGTACCAATTATTGCAGAATGTCTCATAGACTCAGGCAGCGCGATTTCATTTATAAAACTTTCCAAAGTCCCATATGGAATACACATTACTAAAGTTAAGACTTCATATTTTGGTATAAATAAGAGCCAACTTAATGTAAAAGGAAAAACTTTGTGTTTTATCATGAAGAAAGGAATAAAAATTTGTTTTGATTTAATAATTGTCGCTGATGAGTCCATGAGCCATGATGCAATTCTGGGAAGGGATTTCATGGATATCTTTGGTTTAAGCATTAATCTAGACACCCTTGACACTATTAAGGATAGTAGTTGTAATATTAACAAAAATAACTCACTGTCTCACACTTGCAACTTGAACCTTTATTGTGGAACGAAGGATCAACGACATAGAATGGCTGATTTATCTGAAGATGTTTGTACGGATTGTCTAGGACATTTAACTGGAAATGAAACTGTTAAGGAGCAACTGTTAGGAAATGAAACTGTTAAGGAGCAACTGTTAGGAAATGAAACTGTTAAGGAGCAACTGTTAGGAAATGAAACTGTTAAAGAGCAACTGTTAGGAAATAAGACTGTTAGGGAACAATTAATGGAAGGAGATACTGTTGAGAAACAACTCGTAGGAGAAGAGACTGTTAAGAACGAACTATTAGAAAATAAAACTTTTAAGGAGGAACTGTTAGGAATACAAACTGAAAAACTGACAAAGAGCATTTTAGCAGAAACGTTTGATGAGGATATGTTAGGCATCAACATAGTTGATGATCAATTCCCGGATTATAGCATTGGTAATGAAATCGACTACGAAACCAAGTGCAGGTTTGTCAAAATGTTTAAAACGTTATACGGTACTGCAAAAAGACCAGAAATACCTTTTATCAGATGTGAAATGAAAATTAACATAGAAAAATCGAAGCCGTTTAGTTGTTCACCTAGGAGGCTATCATATAGTGAAAAGGATCAGCTTCAGAAAATGTTAGACGAATACCTAGATAAAGGCATTATAAGAAATAGCGACTCGGAATATGCTTCCCCAATCGTGTTGGTAAAGAAGAAAACTGGTGATCTTAGATTGTGCATAGACTATCGCAAGCTTAATAAAGTTCTAATAAAAGACAACTATCCTCTGCCTTTAATAGATGACCTCTTGGATAAGCTAGTCAATAAAAGTGTATTTTCAAAGCTCGATCTGAAAAATGGATATTTCCACGTATTCGTGAGCAATGATTCGATAAAGTATACGTCTTTTGTGACTCCTTTAGGACAGTTTGAATTTTTGAGGATGCCCATGGGAATAAAAAATGCTTCAGCCGTTTTTCAACGCTTCGTAAACAAGATTTTTTCCGATTTGACCAGAGAAAATAAAGTTATTGTATATATGGATGACATAATGGTAGCCAGCACAGATATAGAGGAACATTTAAGTACATTAAAGGAAGTATTTATACGTTTAGTTAATAATAGGTTAGAGCTGCGGCTGGATAAGTGTGAGTTTATGCAGTCAAGCATAAAATATTTAGGATTCTTCATAACTAAAGAAGGAATTAGAGCAGATGATAGAGGTCTTGACGCTATTGAAAACTTTCCGATCCCAGAAAAATTACACAACGTTCAAAGCTTTTTGGGTTTATGCTCATATTTCAGACGCTTTATAAAAGATTTTTCTATTTTAGCCAAGCCACTTTACGATATGTTAAGAAAAGATAAGGACTTTACGTTTACAGAGAAAGAGTTTAATTGTTTTTTTAAAGCTTAAGAAAAAACTAATCGAGTCCCCTGTCTTGGCTATTTATGATCACAAAGACGATGTCGAGTTACATTGCGATGCAAGCTCTTTAGGATTCGGTGCAGTTTTAATGCAAAAGAAAGGGGATGAAAAATTTCATCCCGTATTCTATTTCTCAAAGCGAACAACAGAAACTGAGTCCAAGTACCACAGCTTTGAGCTAGAAACATTAGCTATCATATACGCCCTTCGCAGATTTCGAATTTACCTTCACGGAAGGCATTTTAAGATAATAACCGATTGTAATTCTTTAACCCTTACTTTAAATAGGGTCGACCTAAACCCTAGAATTGCCCGGTGGGCACTCGAACTTCAAAATTTTGATTACGAAGTAGTTCATCGATCAGGAAATAAAATGCAGCACGTAGATGCTCTAAGTAGGTGTCATATATTGACGATTGAGGCCAATAGTTTTGAAGATAATCTGTTAATCTGTCAATCAAAAGATTCAAAAATTTTACAAGTTCGAGACCAGCTAGAGAAAAATCAACTTAAAATGTTTGAAATGAGAAACGGGGTCGTGTACAGAAAATGGAACGACGACAGATTGTTATTTTATGTCCCTGAAGAAATGGAGAGTCATATTTTACATAAATATCACAATGAACTTGGACACATTGGTAGAGATAAAATGTTAGACGCTATTTTAAAAACATATTGGTTTGATAAAATGAAAGAGAAGTGCAGTAGTCACATTGAAAATTGCCTAAAATGTGTTGCATTTGCACCAAAAACGGGGAAATCAGAAGGTTTTCTGCATAGTATTCCGAAAGGGGATAAGCCATTCGAGTTGCTGCATATCGATCACTACGGACCAGTGGATAAAGGAAGAGCAAATAAACACATATTTCTGATTGTAGACGGGTTTACTAAGTTCGTAAGACTGTACACAACTAAGACAACAAATACAAAAGAAGTCTTAAAAGCATTAAGTGACTACTTCAGGGCTTATAGCACACCAAAGTCGATTGTATCAGACAGAGGTAGTTGTTTTACCTCTAGTGATTTCGAACAATTCTTGTCTCAGAGGAACGTAAAGCACTTGAAAATTGCAACAGGGTCTCCACAAGCCAACGGACAGGTGGAGCGTATAAACAGGAGCATTGGTCCTATGATTGCAAAACTTACAGAACCAGAAAACGGTGCACATTGGGACACAGTAATTGAGCAAGTAGAATATACCCTTAATAACACTATACATAGAAGCATTAAACAGGTCCCGAGCAAGATGCTTTTTGGTGTTCAACAGAAAGGAGAGATCGTAGATGAGCTTAGAGAAAAATTAGAAGAAATAAAAGATACGATTGTTACTGAAAGTTTAGAGGAAATTCGACTAAAAGCAATAGATAATCAAAATCAAGCACAGGCATACAATAAAACTTATTTTGACAAGAAAAAGAAAAAGGCCAAGGTCTACGGAAAGGGGGATTACGTCATGGTAAAAAACTTTGATAGCACAGCAGGAGTTGCGAGGAAGTTGATCCCCAAGAATAAAGGACCATATGTTATAGCCAAAGTGCTTCGGAACGACAGGTTCTTGTTGCAAGACGTTGAAGGCTTTCAAGTATCGCGAAATCCGTACAAGGGTGTCTGGAGTGCTCAAAATATAAGACCATGGATAGGAAAAAGGAAAACATTGTAAAACATAAGATTACATAACAACTTTGTATTAAGATAAGAGTATTGTAATTAGCTTTAACTTTAGTTTTAAGAATCTCAGGATCAGGGGATCCAAGTCGCAGGACGGCCGAATTGTAGTAGGCCACCTTACGCCCGATAAACTATCGATTGTCAATGTTAAGCTAACATTAAGTATAACATAATCTTTAAGGAAGCCCAATGTTAATCATTCTTGGTATATGCATTGAATAAAGCGGACGTGTTATAATAAAAAGTGCCTAAAGTATTAAATATACCGGTCCTCTCACAAAAAGTAAATAATTGGTCTTCTTACACAGGATTTGTAAAATCCGGTTATCTTTTTAAAATTTAATCTGGTAATACATTTTTTTGCAAACAACAATTTCAAACAAATTCAACTTTAAATTAATAAACGAAAAGTTTTTTCTATCAAGGTGGACATCAGAAAATATTACATTTGAAAAATTTTACTTAAGTTAATGGGCCCTATAAATGGTTGAGCCAATAAAGTGTTTGTTGCACATATTTCGTCAAATGATGGCTTTAGGTAGAAGTTGTTCGGGATAGTAATTAAAACAAAATTTAATAAATCATCAGCATGTTGAACCTGTCATATTTTTCCATAGTGGCTGTCAACTGGGCATACCCCGTCTGTCTGGGGGAACATTTCTTTGTGGGATGCCTCAGTAAAAAAGCGAAAACCCCCGAAATCTGTAACCGCCTCCGACATTCGCAAATCCAAGCAGGCAAGCAGCCAGCGACTGCTAACAATGCTTATGTATTTATTTGCATTTATGCCAGGGATCGGGGCCGAAACCCCCGAAGCTCTTCCAATCCCAGTCGGAGCCATTGTCTAAACCTTAATCCCCAACGAGTCGGACTGTCAGTCAGCTCAAAGTCAGTCACTGGATGCGCCTGAGCGTGAACTTAATATGCTCGAATGCTCCGCATTTGCCAACAGAGGGCTAAAATAGAGTTTTGCAATCCTGCAACTCGCTTTTCAGCTGCAGCTAAAGCGTGGCTTATTGCCCTTTCTATTGTTATTGTTAATAATTTGCCGCCTTTGTTTGCAGAAATTACCATTCTGTCAAGCCGATGTAGAGGGAGCTTTTCTGTGGACTTTCCCTATTTCCAATTTGCCGCTGGCTTCGTTGAAAGTTAATTAAGTTGCCGACTCCTTTGTGACTACTCCCCGATCCGAAGAACAATTATTTGCACACCCTTTAAATCACTGCAGTTGATCTATTGTTTGCGGATCAACTGCACTGCGATTAACAAAACACAGGCGCTCAGTTTGATTTATCCAGATTTATCAATGGTAATGAAATTTGCCTCGATTCGAGTCAAGAAGCATTTAATTCAATTGTCCGTTTTGTTCAAATATTCGTCTATGCAAATTCGATTTGCACCTAAACTCCGAATAGTCATTCTATTTGCATTAATTAAGGTTTACTTAAATGACAGATTCTAGTTTTAATGAAGGATCCGGTTTTTGATTGTTGTATCGGATTAATTGGCTCAACTTTGCCAATTATTTAATTGAAATTGCAGAAGCTTATTTCGAGCCAACCTCGTTTCTATATTGCCTCCTATTTTGTTTTTCTGGTCCTTTGAAAGTGGTGCTCCTTTATTACACTTACACAAATATCTATCTTAAATAGGAATAATTAAAAATGTTAGGAAATAGGAAATTGTTATTATATATCGTTTTTTTATTCATCTATGAAAACTATTGAAATAAAACAATGTGTATATGTTAAGAAAAATAATTATTGTATAATTAAACTTATTTAAACTAATTGCTGAAATATGTGAATACTTATTTCAGTGTGCACAATAATGTAACAGGAACATTTGCAAACTTGTCGAGCTGAAAAAGCAGGCGAAATTGCAGAGGCATTTGAAACTTTTTGACCAACCAACTAATTGTCAAGTGGAGAGTCAATGCCGACGGCCTGCCACATAAGTCACCGAAGCAACCCACTAAAAAAAGGGAAGGCACCATTCCAAATTTTCCCAGAAGAGAAAATGCAGTTGGAAGCCGTGTGGTTGCATTTGTTGACTGATATCCAAAATGCCATCAAACGCACAAGAGGGCTGCGGATGGGACGGATGTCGACGAGTGATGGTGTGGATTTTGTGGGTGGTT